TAATATATATATATATATATATATATATGTCTGTGTACACACACACACACACACACACACATACACACACACACACACACACACACACACACACACACACACACACACACACACACACACACACACATATATATATATATATATATATATATATATATATATATATATATATATGTATACACGCGCGCGCACGCTTACACGCAGACGGACAAACGCACACATATATGTATATGTATATATAAATATATATATATATATATATATATATATATATATATATATATATATATATATATATATATATATATACATATATATGTGTGTGTGCGTATACACATACATACAAACATAATACATACGTGTGTATGTCTGTCTGCACTTCATATTTTCGAAACTCACGTTCAGGTATCAGCAACAGACACAGAGAAATCAAGCCTTTGATATCTCCGAGACAAAGGACACACTCTGAATAAGGAAAGAGAGTAAGACATTCCACGAATTACGCTAAAACAAAAGAACAAGAGCGAAATCGGGGAACGCAATCGCTTTTATGTATTTAGGCCGTTTTCGCGATCTTCTCCTCAGAGGAACAGATCGCCGGGAACTCGGTACAACGCTCGCCTTTCTCGTCTCGGCCCGAGAAATGGCGATGGGGAGATGGTGTTGTCGGTCCGTAGACTTCTGTAATCCGTTCCTAGTAAACTAGTTCAGAGTTTCAAAGTGTCTAGATGATGGTCACTATACTGTTTCCCCGAATTGATCTATGGAATTTCAGTGACGAAGGTTTCACTGGAATATGTTTTTGATTATGAGAGTATACTGAAAACTAATACAATCGTCTAATAATTCTAGTATAATTATATAAATCCGCCTTTTATCAGTATACTGCTAATAATGCAATTATCTTTAGAGACAAAGTCAAAGCTGAAAATAAAATAATTGGGGGCAACAAAGTTTTTTTCTTTTCTATTTATCCCAGATAATGACCTAGTCTCTAAAAGCTCTTTAGCCAATTGATAAAAATGCTTGAAGTAAATGTTTTGCGCAACTGGTGGGGTATGAATGCACCGGCAACTGTATTCCTACTTCTACATCCGCCCGAACTTCTAACTCGTAGACTAACCATGGAGATAAACGTTACGAAACGGATTTAGATAATTAGACTTTAAACGTTCCGTAGAGAGAATCAAAGCCACGTCCTGTCGCAAATAATAAGGGTGAACATAAATGAATACATACCATAACGGTAGCCTTAAAGAACGCTCCACACAACCACCTTCGCACCACACATAACCGATGTGTATTAATGCCTGGAGTGAGAGCTTATACACAACACCTTTAACTTAAAGCAGTAGTGAATAGACTCACGGTCTTCGGGTCTGGTCGGCTCTTCATAACCTTTGACACAAGCGGCAGGGGTGGTGAGCACAGCCAGGAATATCTGCTTCGGAATACAAACAAATTCAGGGTTGGCTGTATATGCATATGAGTAAAGAACATATATATTAATGAAGTATATAGATAAACTAAAATGATATGATATATTCACACACACACACACACACACACACACGTACACAATAATGACAATAATCGGTTTATTGATTTTCATGCAACCAGAGGCTGAAAATAGAAATAGAAATACAGATAAAGAGACAAACTATACCTACATAAACACATATAAACAACATATAATATATGTACACAAACACAATCATGACAATAATCGGTTTATTGATTTTCATGCAACCAGAGGCTGAAAATATAAATAGAAATACAG